AAACAGTGTTCGGTGCTTAGAATCAGGGGGATGCCTACTGGAACTTTGCCTAACCTAGCAATTTTGAACTACAACTCCCGGAGTTGTTAATCGGGAGCCATGCTGATTGAGTGCTGAAGCCCAGAGGCATCTGGGGGTACCAGACTGGGAAAGGCTGATGATTCAGCTGAAGGTGAGGTGCTTTTCCTGCAGCCCGAAGTCTCCCACCATCCCATTTTAAGTTTGAAAGCATGTGTCAGAACCTTACAAGAACTGAAGCAAGAACCGAAGGGAAAAGAGAATCCACTTCTGTGTCTCCTGAGTCTAGGTATCAATACCCTGCTTTGAATGACAGCGCCACGTTTCACACGTGATGGGAAAGCCAGGTTGCAGAATAACTGTGCGCCGGGTCAGTCTGGATCATGAGAATGAGATGGATATTGTGTGGTGGTCGCCGTAACCGGGCGAGCGAACGACGTGCCCGTTTTCCTGATCGGTGTGTGTCTCTCTCTCTAGAGATGGATGCAGCCTCCTAGCTTATAATGACACTCGGCAGCACGCCCAAGGATCCGTGCTGTGCTTTCATTTCCCTGTGAAAACAAAGCCCATGCGTGGGGCCAATTTATGAGCCAGCGTGTGTTGACTCCAACGGCCCTGCATGCCCTGCACCGTATCCCCATCCGCTCAGGCATGGCGCCTGGAAACAATTTAGACTGAAGAACATGCGTCCCATTCCTTTCCCAGAATCCTGTCTCGCAGGCGGGATTGTGAAGTAGCTTAAAAATAAAAACAAGGACGAGGTCATGCTACGCACTTCTCTCCTTTGGCTAACGTCCCGCTCCCGACTCATGACTCATTTCTGTGCACGTGTCTCAGCCGGGATGTGATCGTATCCATGGCATCGCTGTTCTCACTTTAAGGAATGACTTTCCAACCCACCAGGTTTCACTGACTGTGTAAGAGCAGAAGAGAGCTCCCAGAAGTTGCCAAGGGTCCATCTGGTCCCAGAGCGATCTTACTTCAGCTGGAGGGCTAGATTTCTTTTTGCAGAAGCTCTGGGGAGCTGGATTCCAGTGCTGGTCAAGACCAAAGGCATAAAGCACGAGGCCAAAATACCAAAGCACTCACCTGCTTTCGCTTAAAGCTCTTGTCGGTCACTAAGCTTTAAGAGCAGGCTTTCCAACTTGTAGAATGAGGAGAAACAGCTCCAAAGCTGGGGAACCTGGCAAATGATTGGTGGTTGAGGAAATGGGAAACTTTGGCAGCAGGGGACAGTCCCTCTTTTAGCCTTTAGGGCAAAAATCCGGACCCCACTGATGGTGTAAGCAGAAGGAATCCCCAAGCTCAGGAGGGCTGGTTTACCATAATCAAAAGCAAGTGAAGTAATACAAGGCAACAGGGTGGCGTTCAATGTGGGTAAGCGCAAGGTCTTGCATTTGGGGCATAGGAATGGGCATCCTAAGGACAGGTTAGGGACACGTGGCCAGAGAGAAGCACCTGTGAAAAGGACCTCGGGGTGCTGGTCGACTGCAGGCTAAACGTGAGCCAGCAGAGTGATGCGGTGGTCAAGAGGGTGAACGCCACCCTTGGGTGCATAGCCAGAAGCGTGGCTTCTAGATCGAGAGAGGTGTTACTGCCACTCTATATGACTCTCATGCACCCACAGCTGGAGTATTGCGCTCAGTTCTGGGCCCCTTGTTACAGGAAGGATATAGCAAGGCTGGAATCAGTGCAGTGAAGAGCCACAGGGATGGTGGCCGGTTTGCAGGGGATGCCGTATGAGGCGAGACTGAGGGAACTGGGTCTCTTCAGCCTTGAGAGGAGACTCCGAGGGGATCTGTTGGCGACATACAGGTGTGTGAGGGGGTGTCACATGGAGATGGGTAGAGACCTGTTCTCCCCTGCAGAGGAAGGCAGGATGTGCTCCAATGGAGCAAAGGTCAGGGAACCAAGGTTCAGTTTGGATGCCAGGAAGTGCTTCCCGACAGTTAGGACCCCAAGGGTATGAAATGGGCTTGCAGGGGGGGTGGTTGAGGCCCCATTGGTGCAGGTGTTCAAGGATAGGCTGGATGTCCACATGGTGGGCATGTCGTGAGTGGAACTGGCTGGAGCCGGGGGGCCCCCTCTGACTCGCTCTGTTTCTATGTTTCTATACTTGTCCTCTGAAGAAAGAGGCTAAGTCTCCTACTGTATTACCTAACTGTGGCACCGCTTCGTGAGACACTTCTTAAACGTTGCCGAAGCTGTAGTCTCTTGGAGAATCACAGAGCTGGAAGCGGCCATTGCGGCCACTTCGTCCAACCCCAGGTCAGGAGAGCAATTTAAAGCATTTCCAAAAAGTGACTGTCGTCTGGGCTTGGAGACCTCAAGCTGTTCATTCCATTTTTGTTTGCCATGTTAGAACGTTTTTCCTGATGTTCAGCCAAGATCTGCAACATTACGCCTGTTGAGTCCCTCATCTCGGAGGCCACGGAACAGCTTGAGTTCCTCACTTTACGACAAGCTTTAAAAGGGCCGTCACAGCCCGCTCCCCCGTTCGGTATTTTAGCACGGAATCATTTCAGGTTATAAAGTACGATGACTCTGAACTCACTTAATTCACTGCTGCTGTTTCCTGCAGGCACCTCTTGGCAAACTACAAAGGTGGACTTCCGTCCGAGGCAGCTGCAAGACTCTTTTGGGATTCTGAAGCATTTATCTCAGGTGCAGCCACGCAGATGCAAGCAGCCCCACTCCTCTGCCTCTATTGTCACTTTTTAAGCACCTCTAAATATTTCCCCTCCTCCCCGTTGCAGCCTGAGCAGCAGGAACAGTGGACGCAACAGCCATTCCTGACCACACTCAAAGCGCTTGGCCATCAAACCACAATCCTATGCAGGGAAATCTTCCAGGGAGTCAAATTTTGGCCCGATGCCCCTTTTCGCATGGGTGCAAAAGCGTGGATGCTGGAATAGGGCTACCAGGGACTAGGCGTCATGATGGTGAGAGATCATCTGCCGGACCAGAGAATCTGTGCAGGGAAACACAGGCAGGAGGACACTGTGGGAACGAAATCCTGGATTGCAGAGCGCCTCTTAGGATGTTCAGTGAGGGATCAACATTTCTACAGGAAGTGCAAATCGTGATTTCGGGAGAAGGGCCATGGTTGTTTTCTCAGTCCCTTGAGTTGTTTATTTCTCTCCTGTTGGCTCCCTCCCTCCCTGAATCCTGAAGAATATAAATTTCTCCTGATGACCAAACAACAAGCGTCAGTTATTTAGTGTTCTGTCAGCGAGAGACAAGAGGGTCACAAATTTAAAATAACTCAATCAGGAAGGCCAGAATTTGCAGAAATAAGCCTGGAGGCAGATGTTTCGACACCGAATGTTCTAAAGAGAATAATCATGTCAACCAAAGTCAAAATAACCATGTACAAAAGTAACGGGATGCCTCCTGCTTTGTTTTCTGCTACTAATCATTGCAAAAAGCTAAATGCGTAAAATTCCTGCATGAAATGACTGTGGCACCTGGTCCTGACCGGACTTGCTCCGTATTGTGAGCCTGCACCTAAAAAGTCTTTATTTTTTAATATCAAATTACTTGCAGGAGTTGCCTGTCTATTTCACGGTTGGACAATCAACAAGGGGGAGTTTCTTGTCTGCAACAATCCCAAATGCCTTTGCAGCGCTGAAGTAGTGGAATGTACAGCGCCTTAGTTTCATTTTTACCTCTCTTGCCTGTCACCTCTCTAGCCTGGAGGATCAACCCATGAACAAGCCAAGATTCTAGGTGCGTGTGCAACAACCACCCATGATTTCAACAACCCAGAATACACCACCCAAAAACCAACCATGGATACACTTTTGGGTTCTTTGTGCTTAACAAAGGGAAGATGGCTCAGACAAGACGAGACAATCCAGGATTCAGTAACTCAACCCATGGGTTAGGGTACTGTGTGAACCCAGCAACGATCAGGCCAAATAGACATGAGCCAGTAAGCCAACCCTAGGCTGAGCCAGTTTTAAGGCAGTTTTATATATTCAAATGGCTCTTATAAAACCATCAGCTGTGACTGTTTTCAGGCAATCTGTACACATACTGATGGCATCTGGGAACCACTCCCTAGTGGTTAGCTAAAGATCACAAGAGCCCCAGGCATGGAACCAGGAATCCTGAAAGACAGTTGGACAAGTCCAGCCTCTGACTGAACGTGCTCTGGTTGGAGGGCCACAAGGATGCCGAGCCGTTTCGTGTTCCAAGCAGAGGTCCCAGCATCCTTTGCTGCCCATCCACCAGTCCCCTGCTCCAGAGCAGAGTCATCTCTTGGCAGCAAGAGATCGCCGCTCATGCTTCCTGTTGCGACGCCAAGGACTTCAGCGCAGCTTGGGGTGGAGATGGAAGCTGCAAGGCCCGGTCTGTTGCTAGGGATCAATGCGCCGGCCTGCAATTCTGGACCCTCCTTGGGGATCGTGGCTCCGGGGACTGATGTGCTGAGGGATTGCACCACAAAAGGTGGTGCTTCACCAGCGTGTGCGCATCAAGGATGCGGACGGCACGGCCTGGTTGCTCGTGGTCCTCACCCACGCAGACGGTAGACTGAGCAGGTCCTCTGGAGTGGGGCAGCTGCATATCAAGGGAGGGTCATCCCGGGTGATAGAGCGGAGGAACTGGGTGAGAGGAGATAATAATAAAATTGGGCTCCCCCTGCCCCATCCCCATCCCCCTGCCTGGGTACAATTAGTCCAAGTGCAAACAGTCAACCCCATCTTTTCTGAAGATGAAAGGGAAGAAATGATTAATTGACAGTGTTTGAGAGCTGGGCGGGTGGAAAGGGCTGGATGGAAATTCTTCTGTGCGGCATCCGCTCACCAAGGCGACATGGCACATGGGAGCTCTTTGAGACTCCCAGTTCCTGTTCTATGCCCCAGTTCATCATTCATGGACATTTCTGCGCCCGTTTCAAAAAAAGATGCAAACCCAGCTGACCCTCGGATTTTTACCTAAAAATAGAGCCCTTAGAAATAAACAGAGTCAGACATAAGTTTCCAAGTGTCACTTAGCTTTTAGAATACAAAAACATTACTCCCGCGGTTACCTCCACGCGCGATTGCTTTAAACAGAATATTTTACAAAAGCCTTGATCCTTTTTGAGTGTGTGCAATTTCTACAAAAGAATCATTTTGTCGCACCAAAACAAAACTCCCCCACCCCACCTTCCAATTTCTTTCCTCTTAGTTGAAGATGTCGCAACCTATCTATCCAGCGCTTGCAATGTGCAAAGCAACTTAGAACCCTGATCTCGGTTTTTTTGGAGGGAGGGAAGGAAGTCTGAACAACCTGTATGCTGAGGATGGAGTAATTCTTGAAGATCAAGTTTGAAAAGGAGGCGGGAAAAATCTGCAGATGGCAAAACATTGCTTTCGTGTTTCATAAATGTTCCTCCATAAATGATGCTGCTGTTGGCAATGCTGAAAGACCCTGTTGCGAAGGGGAGATCTGCTGGCAACGTGTCTCCGTTCTTTGCTTGCTCTCCAGAAATGCAGGAGTTTCCAGCAGTTTGGTCAGGAGCTTCCCTTTATTTGCTTAGTGTTTTGATTGTATGTACATGAAGATATTGCAGGCCCAAAGCAAGCTGAAACAGCCCTGGCATGTAAAAAAAAAAAGGGGGGGTACACTTCTCATGCTCAGAGGTGCTCTGGTCCGGGAGCTGAGAAAAAGTAGTTCCAGGCAACAGATCTAGGCTGGGGGACAGGGTATCACCTCAGCCCCCAGCTTGGTGCAAAGAGCGAGCTGGGCAACGCGAGTGCCTTGAGGGCCCCTAAAGGTTGTCGTACATCCTCAGCGTCTTTTCCAGCTGCTGGCTTACTCGCTGGTAGAAGACGATCTGCTGCTTGAGGTAAGACTGCATCATCTTCTTGAAGTCCAAGATGCGTCTCTCGTGGAAATGGTTCATTTCGGCCTGCAGGGCAAAGCCTACGACACGGCAGCGCTTCCGGATCCCATCTGCCTCGTCCTGGTCCATCTTTCCCTCGTCACTCATCCGCTGGCTCTCCTTCACTTTGGCAAAAGCACCTGTAGGGGAGGCCGGGGGGCGGGGGGGGGGGGGGAGAGACAGGAGCCATTAGAGCTTCTCTCCCTTTCGTGAACCTACCTCACAGGGCCATTGTGAAGTCTCAGCCCAGACACGGGTTTGCCAGCCCAGTGCAAACCGGAGCTGTGTAGGCACCAAACCCCGAGCATCCCGGAAGAATTCTGGGGCAGGATTGGCAATGCATCCGCCTTTTCTTTCTACTTCTCTGTGTTTGTTGCAAAGGGCAACAAAACGGAGCCAGCGTAGTACATTTTTTAATAGGAACAGGGGGGAAATCGAAAGGAGCAAAGCTTTAGGTGATTCCAGCGTGTGAGACAAATAGCAGAAATCAAAAAAGCAAGACGCCTGCCCACCCCAATAGATATGCTCTAGATTTTAGGGAGGGTCTGGAAGAGAACTGCGTCCAAGCAGTGTTGCTTGGTCAGCGTCTGCACATGAACAAACTGATCCCTTAGAGACTATCCTAGGGAAATATTCTACTGAATATTCAACTATCCTATTGGTTAAGGCAGCTTACTGAATCCTTCCCCTCTGTTGTATCCACACAACCACCCTTGTTAGGGTCGGCCATAACTCAAGGACTGGCCTAGAGTCACCCAGGCTGAGCTGGGATTAGAACCCCGATCTCTCCTGTCCCGCCCCAACACTCTGCCTGCTGTGCCATGTTGCCTCTGTTGTGCGAAACGGTTTTAAATTCAATTCGCGCTGCACGATCGAGTCCTATCTTGCCGTGTCTACACACACTCACTTCCAATCAACCTCAACTGGTCCCTGCGGGTTTACCTCCCTTCGACCTCACCTGCTCTCTGTGCAGAATAACACCTGCAGAAGTGGAACTGAGGTCTATTGTGTAGCAAGTGCTTTCGTATAATTATACAGTGGGAAGAGCTTTCCAAAGCTGAATGCTGCGACTCAAGGATTTGCAAGCCAATATTTGTAATGAGGCAATGCAGCTATGAATGGCTAATTCTACCACACAGTGAGTTCGGCCTGCATCTTTCTTAAGTCATTAATGATAGCAAGGAGTGTCCTCATTGTGCATTTGTCCATGTATTGCATTTATGTAAATATTACGCACATTTCTGTCTTTGGTAGAGTGGTTTGGCTAGAGGGCAACCAAAAAATGTTGCAATCTCACATCCAACCTTGCAAGTATATTTACATGCCTTACCTAATGTATGCTGGTTTGCATTCTCTGCTACTTATATGAACCCTGCCTCTAACAGCAGACTCAGGCGGTGAGTGTGAAGGGGAGGGGGAACAGATGGGGCCACTGAGATGAAGAGGGAGGTATCAATGTGCTTGGAAGAACCCCATCATCCAGACAGACAAAACCCAAAGAGCAAGGCCCGGGGATGCGCAGCGTTCTCAGAAAATGCTGGGTGCCGGCTCTCTCGCGTGCAATACTGATGCGCGCTTGTCTGAAGCTACTAAAAGCAACTTCAGCCCGGTGAACCTTCTCGGGTCCTCAGCGCCACACGCCAGTGCGATGAGCATGGCCGAGCGAGCTGTTTGCAGGGCCTTAGCTATGCAGGCTTTCTTGCTTATCCGGCCACAAGTCAGAACCAGAGAGCTGCAAAAGGTTTCTACGATTTCCTCGCCCTGCTTGGCCGGCTGTCGGTCCATTCTTGGGGGCTCTGTGCAGCCTCCCCCAACCTGCCACGCTCATAAGCCTTCCCATTGGCACCTTATATGCTAGCTGAGGGTGATGGGTGCTGTAGTCCAGCACCTCTGCAGCAAGCCAACTAAGTAAGTGAACGCTTGCTTAAATACTTAAAGTAACAGCTGTTTAAGTATTTAGTTTAAGTACTGTATTTACTCCACGGTTCCCACACCAGGTCTCCAGGGAGACAGCTCCCTCCCCAGCAAAACTCAGCACCCCATGTTTTTCTTGGTCTCTTTCAAAACGGCAGCCTTTGCCACACCTGGATTTCCTCATCCCTTGCAGAAAAAAAGGAGAGCCTTTCAGAGTCCAGTGCTCCATTCCCAAGTCTTGAAAAGGGAAACCTCTGAGCTGGTGTGCGTATACATCATATTTTTATCACACAGCCTGTGGTTGCCTACACACATGCAGACACACACAGGAACATGGGCACGTCTTAAATCTCGAAGTCGGTGGTCAATGCCCACATCTGTAAAATCCATGTGCCTTAATCGAAAGGCACCAGGCCAAGCACGACTAACTGTTCCAGAAATTGCAGCTGCTGAGGTCAGATATGAATTGCCGCTAACATTTCATAGGATCACCGCCACCTCTTGTCTTATGGCAGGGATAAGGAATCCGCTGCCGCCCAGGTGTTTGGGACTGCGACTCCCAAGATCCCTAGCCAAACTGGTTGGAATGGATGGGAATTATAGTCCAAAACTTCTGGGAAGTCCTCTCTCTGGACATCTGATATGAGGCAGTGATTGGTTCTCTACTACCCTGCTTAAGCGGCTTGCCTCCACCTTTGCATAATGTCCGTATTTGTAGAAAAACAAAACACTTACAAAAAGCTGTCAGCCTGCCGGGACCAAAGGAACCCAAACCAGGGAGTTAGATGAATCCCTGGACTTCTCAGGGCTTGGGAATCTGCCGCTGCCTGCCGGCCCTGACAAGCCCGGACCAGGTAGGCTGGCTCAGTGGACCGCGATTCCCTCTGTTCCCAACACGGAAGGGCAAAACTGCAGGGCCAGGGGCCGAAGCCACGCCTGGGCTTCCCCACATAGCCAGGCCCCTTTCCCCATCCCATACGGAACTCTTCCCCCATGCTGCAAGGCTGCAATGCTTCTCCTGAAGCTTGGCTCCTGGAAGTAGGAGCCTGAAGCTTTGGGGAGATGTTGCCCTCACCGCCGCCGACTGCTGGAATGACTCCCCAGAAGCCTGAAATGGAGCACAGGCCTCGAGATGCAAGTAAGCTGGGCTCCCGCCCTGCGTCTGAAGCCAAGCAGCTTCTCTCCTAAAGCTCACCAGTCTCTCGGACTTCAAGCCAGGAGAAAGCAGGCCACTGCCGAGTCCGCAGCCCCAGCCGACGTGACGAGGGCAGAGCGATGCGCCGTACGTCACTGCTGCCGGATGGCCCGCGGCCCTGATCCTTGGAAAGAGGTCAGACAAGCAGGCGATGCGCCGAAGATGATGGGGCAGAGCTTCCTCATGTGGAAACGGTTCCCTGAAGCTAGAAAGCGATCGATCTAATTCAGGCCACTGGCTAGTGAGCCACCGAGGGGAGGGGAAGGGTGGCCGCTGGAGCCGTTCGGTCTCATTCTGCAGGGCTTGTTTTGACCTCGGAAGACCGGCACCTGCGAGGAACGGAGCCGCTCAGCCGATGCCTCGCACTCATGCAAATGAAGGAATAACCTAGTTTTGGGCACTAAATAATTCAGACCAACTACTTAATGCTCAAACCAGCCATAGCAGGCCGTGCCGGCTTTGCTGGGAGTCCTGCCCTTTCCATAATGGCTTCGCTCAGACGTAAACTGACATCTCCCATGCAGAAAAACGAGGGACAACTCTGCAAAGGGGCAGAATCCAGGTCATGCACTCTTCTGCTCGATATAATTTGATGGGTTCCTCATGCCTGTAATTAACGCCACACAGGATTTTCTCTCGCCATCAACAGTGTCACTGAACTCGTGCGCAACGCTCCGTTTTAGCATCCAACAGCGTCCATTTGGCCGGAAGGAGGCTGGCTCTCCTGCTTTTGTCCCAGCATTTGCAGCGTTGCTAACAGTCCGTGCATTTTTTAGAAATCTTGGAAGTATATTTCTGAGTGGTTGCAACACAGCACAATCTTGAGCTCGGTCCAAAGTGCCCACAGTTATGTTTTGAACTACACAATGCCTTAAAGACAAAGGAGACAGGTCGGCCTCTTTCCTAGGACTGGCTGCGGGCTGAAAGGTCTTCTCCTGCCTGAACAGGCACACAATTGTGCCTTCCATGCCCTTTGTGGTTTGCAAATGTTGCTCTAAGAGGACAGAGCGCCTGCCTGCTGCAGACCTGACCTTTCCTTGCAGACTCAAAGCTCCAAGTTCCACTTACAGCATCTGATGGGAGTGTGCCAGGACCCCAAAAAGCCGTGCAAACACACTGAAACACCTGGACAATTAACACAGCAAAGCAACAACCCTATGGGATCCCCATAAAATATCCAAGGGGCCAAGGATACTGGGACCTGAGGCTGAATTCTGGGACGTGAGGTTGAGAAGAGCCTTCCAATCTCAGAGGAGAGGCTTGCGCTCCACCGCCACATCTCACCCTGCATCCTGGAGATGGGGAGAAGGGAGCTTCCCAGTGGGAAGAGGGAAAGAAACAGGTTGCCCTCTGCAGCCTCCTGCCCTCCCTCTCCCAAACTGGGCCTTTTCTGCTGGTGTAGCAACAGCAGCATCTCATGCCACTGCAGGGTGGGAGTCAGACTGCTTGTCCAGGCCTCTCTTACCTCCATGGTTTAGAAACCTTACAATGGGAGCGGCTTCATCTACCTGTATGCCATCGAAGGAATCCTTGACACCTACAGTGTGGCTTTCTGATCTTGGCCTTCCTTGACTCCTTGGGTTGCTGAACTGGGCATTCACTTCCCCTCTAAAACCCACGAGCCACGGCTTCCCTGGGCGGACCCTGCCATCTCCTCGGTCTCATTCCTGCGTCTACATAGCTTTCAAAGCCCTGTGAGCAAGGGGGATCTGGTGAGCTTTTGAAAATGAGCAACCAGCTCTTTGGACCAAATCCCCACGTAGAGAAAGTGAATTTGCTTCTCAAGTCCATTTCTACCAGTCCGAGGGAGAATGGAAATAAAATATGCCAATGCTAACAGAAGCATCAGAAATCAGTGTTTAGATGGACAAGAGGCTGAGGACGTTTCTGCCTGCTCTGCTACCCCCAAAATACCATTCTGAGAGGATGCGGCAGGAGGATGTTCCCCTTCTTCAGGAAACCATGATGCCTGCCCTCTGGTCTGGACGCAAGCCGTCTAGGGTGGCCCTGTGTCCCACTTTACAGAGTGCG